ATACAATGAACAGCTATATACAAACAAGTTCAACAATCTAGAAGAGAAGGACAAATTCCTACAACTCTATATTCATCCAAAGCTAGATAAAAAAGAAATAAAAAAAACCAAACAGGCCAATTACAAGCAGTGAAACTGAAGCAGTAATTAAAACCCTCCCCAAGAATAAAAGCCCAGGACCAGATGGATTTAAACTGAAAGGAGTAAGAAGAATTAATACTTGGGTATAGCCAACAAAAAGTCTCCAGACACAGAAGGAGAGCGTTCATCAAGCCTGGAGAGGGGTGGGCACCACGCGACTGCAGTCTTTTGGCCTTCAGCTTTAATGTGACTCTTACATGTAGTTTTTCTCGGGTTTTTAATCACATCGGAAACAGAACAATTTTTTTAAATCCCAAAATTAAACTTCTGCTTGATGGAGTCCTGAGCAGATTACACAGCAAGAAATATTCTAAGTTTTAAATAAAAACCATGTTACAAGCCTACGGGGATTACAGGTGAGAAGGAAAAATGCACAAAATGATGTAAAAATAAACTATTATTTATCAAAAAAATCATGTTGCAAAATTCTATTTAGAGTATAATCTTAAGTACAGCCAGAAGGCTATAGAGGCACGAAACTATTACAACATTTTTGGTGTAATTGAAATTAAGCAGGATTTTCCTAAAACTCCTTTTTTCCTTAAAATATATTTAACACTTGGATTATTAGAAATGCTCATAATTTAACAAGTACATGGTCTAAATAACTAGGCAAGTTTTCCCCCATATTCATCCATTCTTACATTTTCCTTTTTTTTTCATGTTTTTAAAAAAAGATTTATTTATTTATGCAAACAGAACTGGGGTACACACCAGAGGTACAGGGGTGGTGAGAAGATTCACCAGAGACAGAGTAGGGAGCAGAAAAAGCTGATCAACAAAGTTCTCTGATTAATAGTTGCCTGTTAATTTTGTTTTTTGATTTATTATATTTATTTTTTTCTGGCCCCTTATTTGTTCCCTTACATTCCTTCTCTGAGTAAAACTATCTGACATTTTTCTTTTCCTTCTGACTTATTTCACTAAGCATAATCCCTTCCAGTGCCATCCATGTTGCTGTAAATGGCATGAGTTTGTCTTTTTTGATTGCTAGATAGTATTCCATTGTGTATATGTACCGTCCTGGATCCAGTCTTCTATTTTGGAGTATTTAGGTTGTTTCCATGTCTTATCTATTGTAAACAGTGCTGCAATGAACAGAAGGGTGCAGGTGTCCTTTTGATTAATGTTTTGTATCCTTTGGGTAGATTCCTAGGAGTGGAATTGCTGGGTCATGTGGTAGCTTCATATTTAGTAGTTTGAGGAATCTCCACAGCTTCCCATAATGGGTGGATCAGTTTGCATTCCCACCAGAAGTGGGAAGCACATTCTCGCCAACATTTGTTGCTTCCATTTTTTTTTTAGTATGTGCCATTCCTGCTGATATAAGGTAGTATCTCATTGTGGTTTTAATTTGCATTTCCCTGATTACAAGTGATATTGAACTTTTTTTTCATATACCTATTGGCCATTTGCATTTCTTCTTTGGATAAATGTCTTTTTAGTTCTACCCATTTTTTAAAAAGATTTATTTATGCACACATGCAAGAGCTGTGGTGTCAGCCAGAGATGTGGGGAATGGAGGTAGGGGTTGAGAAGATTCACCAGAGATAGAGTGGGGAGCAGACAGGCTGATCTATTGAAATATACTGCTGAGGAGAGGAGCAGGGGAGACAAGAGAGGTCTGCTGCACCTCCCTGGCTGAGGATCAAACTCATGCTGCAGTGGCTGTGAGTAGCTTCATAGTGCTGCATCTTAATGACTTGTGACACCAGGGGGCTCTTCTGGTGCCCATTTTTTGACTAGATGGTTTACTTCCTCTGACAATCTCAACTGAACTATCAATGTACACTATTTTATGTTTACTTTGATTTTTTCAGTTTGTTCACTTTGTTTCCTTATATTCTGCCTTGGTATGTAATCATCCAACCTTTTATCTTTTTGCTTAACTTCACTTTGCGTCATCCTTCAAGGTCTTTTGCTGCAAATGGCAGACTTTCATCTTTCCTTATAGCCAAAGAATATTTCACTGTGAGTATTTAGCTAGTCCTCACTGATCTATCATCTTTCAATGGGCACTTAGGATTACTTAGTAGGCAGGTTTTGATTGGAATTTTACTCACTTGTTTGTTTGGTAAACATAATGTGAGATTAGTGTGCATGAGTTGCAAAATTTGGAAAATCAAATTTGAGTAGTAGAGAAATTTGTACTGTAGAAAAAATATTTAAAGTGCCTAGAAAACCAGCCACCAGACAAAAATAAAGTCTTGACTTATTTTCTTATCCATTTTTTTCCCTCTGATTAGTTGTATCTCCTACTAAACACTTTCCTTGGAGGGTTCTAATCAAATACAGAATTAAGCCTAAGCTTTATTTTTAAGAGAACACTTAAATAGTGCTTCTACGTGCCATGGATTGCACCAAACAATTTACAAATATAATAATTCACAGCATTGAAACTATTCTTCAAGTTGCCACTCAATGCATTCTGGATTTAGTTTCAACTTCACTTCCAATCTCTTCCTACTTCTCCAGCAGCCTTGAAACCCCACTTCACTATCTACTCACTGGCCTATAACACATCATAGGTGCCACTCATCTCCTGTCAGCTCTGCTTATCTCTTTTCAGACACTTACCTCCATCCCTCCCCCAACGCTATCCCCTACATCCACTTCTTCGCAATCCAAGGCAGGCTCCAACAAGGTGGCCAGCATTTATCTCACCTCTCTACCTGCTCCTCCCACCATTACTCTCTGCGGTACAGTCTGAAGAATATGATCCATTTGAGGAATTACCGCTGGTAAAACTTAGAGCAGCTTTCTCAATTTTCCTCTCCCCACGCAACACAACTTCATATGTCTGCATGCAGATATCGCTCAACATGCAAAGGTCATGCATGCACACCATTCAATCTATTAAGTAATATAAGACAGACCAACAAGCTTCAGTTTTAGTACCTACTACATGGAATAGCATTTTGCCACATATAATCATCAAATTTGAATGCAAATGGCCATATCATAAAACATTTTATAAATTTATTATTTCCTTTGTTTAAAGTCTATGCTAAGCACTTTACAGGTCCTTGTTATAAATTACAGTTATAAATTATAAATTACAATCCCCCCAAAATTACCCTTATATATAAGTCTTTATCAAGATCGTATAGGAGGAGTGTTCCTTATATTTTGCAAAATAATGTACTATTTGGGAAAGAAAGAGGAGCCTGAACTTATTCAATCATGTGAGTATAGAAATCATCAGGTAGAATCCATTTTTTAAAATGATATGGCCAGTTAGCTCCATTGGTAAAGTGGAGCTACAATGGGGCTAAGAGACAAAGACATTTAATTTAGATACATTAATTAGTCCTGGCATGAGACTTTACAATTACTAGATATTTGTAAGTAAACTTTACTTACAAAGACCACCTTTAAAGGAAGAAACATGCTATATTGTAGCACCACAGGGTATTACTGACTTTACATCTGTGTCCCTACCCACTTCCTCCATGCCAGAAAGCTCACGCTTAACTGGGTATGGCAGGAGGAACAAAGTCTGAATTGTATTTCCCCATCCAGCAGGGTCAGTGCAGAAATACTCACTTTCCTTCCAAATTAAACCCCTGTGTGGCACTTCTTTGCCAAGAGCTGGCTGGACTTGCTGTGCAGAAGCAAGTCCTGCTCCAGGAGCCGCACAACCAGGTGAGCAAGGCTCACAATGGCTCATGAAAGGAGTTTGCAGGTTCCTTTTAGGACTCTTCAATTTTACACAACCTTCACAGTTAGGGATAAAGATGAAACTTTAGAGAAAAGAAATTAAAAGCAGCCCTGTTCTTATACTCTGTTTGACATGTTTGTTAAATGAACCAGAGAAACATTAACACAGCAAAGCCTGTTAATGTTCAGGCCCTCCCTGGTGGCACAGCAGATTAAAGCTAAGAAGTTAAAGCCACTTCAGCATGAGTTCAATCCCTGCCCTGGAGGTGACCCACATGGTGGGGCAGACCTTGCCTGACCCGCCCGCTGCTCCCCTCAGCAGTGTACTTCATCGGTCAGTCTGGTCTGATCCCCACTCTGTCTCTGGTGAATCTTCTCACTGCTCTTGCACCTCTGGCCTATACCCCAGTCCTGTATATATAAGTAAATAAATCTTTAAACACATACACACACATTCTGCTTTTCTGATTTGCTCCCAAATTCTCAGCTAGCTATTACCACAGTAACAAAATTATATAAACAGGTAGGACTCAAAATATCAAGGAGGGGTATCAGAAGCAATGTTTCTTTTAGTGTTAACTAAATGTTCTTTGATCTTGTCAGTAAGTGAAACATTTTAGAAGACATTTATACCCAGAGGTCTTAAATAGGGCTAGGGACTGTTTCAGGCATAGGAGTTTAGGGAGGACCCTGACCATCAAACTGCCACCACTGCAGCTGCCCCCAGAGTGACCTGGAGTTTTCCCAACTGAGGAAACAGTACACCTGAGAGTTTATCTTTCTGTAAGTGAAGTTGTTGGGAAGACTAAGTTCAAATGTTATAAGCAATGAAAGAATTTCTTTAAAAAAAAAATTTCTTTTAAGTGATGTCTTTAAACCTTTATATAATTATATGTGAAAACAAGAATATAGTTTCTTACTCAACAGGAAAATAATAAAACTAAAAATTTAAGTGTCCAGAAAATCTATTTTGCTCAAATTCTCATCCCTCTGAAAAACACTATTATCACAATAGTTTAGTGAGAGTCCATATAAGAGATGTTTTGAGGAAAATGTTTCCTATCACATGAAACATAATTCTAACTTTGACACAAGACATTCACTTCTTCCAGCGGCTTACCATCTTCCCCTGTTCCTCCACTGAGGTCAGAAAGCAACTTCAAGCCCTGATACACCTGAGTAAATAATCTTCAACTCACCTGAATGTGCATGGCGCCCTCTACTGCTGCTCGAATATCTGAACAACCACTGATGAGTGACAACTGTTGTTCAGCACTCAAAGAGCCTTTCAGAGATCCTGACTGCTCCAGCAACTTCATCTCCTTTCTAGAAAGGAGAGCAATCATTGTGAGTATTCAACAATTTTTTTAAAGAAATTAAGATCAACATAGGTAATCGTTAGGAAAACGCAAATCAAAATCATAATAATATACAGTTCATACCCATTAGTGTGGCTGCTATAGAAAAAAGAGAAAATAAAACAGATGTTGGTGAGGAGTATAGAAGTTGGAAACTTGTTCACATTGGTGGCAATATAAAAGGTACAGTCACTGTGGAAAAGAGTCTAGCAATAAGTCAAAAAGTTAAAAACTACTCTATTATCCAATAAGTCAAAAAGTTAAAAACTATCCTATTATCCAGCAAGTCCACTTCTGAATATATCCAAAAAAAAACTGAAACCAAGAATTAAAACAGATATTTGTACATGTTTGTTCATAGCAGTGCTATTCACAATCACCAAAAGGTAGAAACAATGCAAATGCACAGACAGATGAGCAGATAGATAGTATGTCATACTATGCACATACAACATAATATCATCAAACTTAAAAAGGAAGGAAATTCTGAGACATGTTACAACGTGACTGAATCGTAAGGACATTATGCTAAGTAAAATAAGCCAATCACAAAAGACAAATTATTTACTTATATGTGATACCTAGAGGAATCAAATTCAAAGAAACAGAAAGCAGAAGAGGCTGTTAGGATTTGGGGTGGAAAGAAGAAAGAAGAATTGTTATTTAATAAGTATAAAATTTAAGTTTTGCAAAATGAAAGTTATGGAGGTCGTACAATTAAAATGTACTTAATACCAGTGCCTGAACACTTTAAACTTTTTTTTTAAGATTTATTTATTTATTTGTACAGAACTGGGGTACAGGCCAGAGATGCGGAGGGTGAAAGGATTCACGAGAGACATAGTGGGGTACAGAACAGGCAGATACACGAAGTACACTGCTGAGGGGAGCAGTGGGTGGGTCAGGAGAGGTCTGCCTCACCATGTGGATCTCCTCTGGGGCAGGCGGGGATCGAACTCATGCAGAAATGACTGAAGCCTATTTGTGCTGTGCTTTAATCCGCTGCGCCACCAGGGAGGGCCCACTTCAAACTTTTATGAGTGAATTTTATGTTATATGTATTTTACCACAATTAAAGTTATTTAAAATCCTTTTTTTTTTAAAGATTTATTTTACTTATACTTACAGAACTGGGGTACAGGCGAGAGTTGTGGTGGGTGAGAGGATTCACCAGAGACAGAGTGGAGAGCAGAACAGGCTGACTGATAAAGTACATTACTGAGGGGAGCAGTGGGTGAGTCAGGAGAGGTCTAGTCTGCCATGCCATGTGGGTCAGCTCCCTGGCAGGGGATGGAACTTCTTCTGCAGTAGCTTTGGAGAGCTTCGTAATTCAGTGCTTTAACCTGTTACGCCACCAGGGAGAGCCCTGTATTCCCTTTTTAAAGGGTGAAACAAGGTCCAAGTGGTGAAAACTGGAAAACAGAGCTTCTTCATCCTCATCCTTCAGTCAGTACTTAGGGGGAAGGGTTGAAAAAAGATCTTAAAATCATCAATCAACTGATCATATCAATACATGCAGAGAAGGTATTTGATATGATCAGCACCCACTTACAATAAAAATCTTAGAAAATGTGTTTAAAAACAAATATATCTCGGGCCCTCCCTGGTGGTGCAGCAGGTTAAAGCACAGCACAAAGAAGTTTAAGCCACTTCCACATGAGATCGATCCCCGCCTGCCCCAAAGGAGATCCACATGGTGAGGCAGACCTCTCCTGACCCACCCGCTGCTCCCCTCTGCAGTGTACTTTGTCCATCTGCCTGTTCTGTACCCCACTCTGTCTCTGGTGAATCCTCTCACCCTCTGCATCTCTGGCCTGTACCCCAATTCTGTACGAATAAATAAATAAATTTTTAAAATAAATAAATAAATAAACAAATATATCTCAGCATAATAAATCCCGTAATGGCAAACTGATACTAGCATTGTACTCAATGGTGAGAAACTGAAAACTTTTCTTCTAAGAGCAGGCACAAAACAAATACCCATTTCACCACTACTATTCAACATAGGGTTAGAGTTCCTAGTTAAAGCAATGAGGCAAGAAAAAGATATAAAAGGAATCCAAATTGGAAAAGAAGTAAACTATCAGTACTTACAGATGACATGATTCTATATATAGAAAACTAGAGTGGAAGTGGAAACAAGTGGGGAAGGGACTCCATGGTGCATGGTAAAGAGACACTGGGACTGCTGTAGTGATGGGTGTGGCAGTCAGATGTACATCTGAGGAAGGTGACCATTTCTAGCACTGAGTCATCTACAGTGCTATAAACTAATACTACTTTAATAATAACATAAATAATAATTTCCATTAAAAATTGTAAGTCCTGGGGCCCTCCCTGGTGGCGCAGTGGGTTAAAGCACAGCACTGAGAAGCTAAAGCCACTTCCGCATGAGTTCGATTCCCGCCTGCTGGGAGGTGACCCACATGGCGTGGCAGACCTCCCCTGACCCGCCCGCTGCTCCCCTCAGCAGTGTACTTCGTCAATCTGCCTGTTCTGCTCCCTGCTGTCTCTGGTGAATCCTCTCGCCTTCCATATCTCTGGCCTGTACCCCAGTTCCATGTGAATAAAGAAATAAATCTTTAAAAAAAAAAATTGTAAGTCCTCATGGAACTTGGGAATGATTTTTTTAAAATAAAGGGTGAGTCTCTGACATTTTTCTCATATGATTTGCATGATCTGTGACATCAGCAAAAAGAAATCTCCCTTAAAATAGGGTCAGAAAAATGGGTACCTTCTTTGTTTCTTGCATGCAAGAAGGCTAATACAATGACAGAAAATAATGTAATGTCTTTAGGTTTTTTTTTTAAAGGATTTACTTTTATTTATGTATGCATACAAGAACTGGGGTGCAGACCAGAGGTGCAGGGAGTGAGAGGGTTCACCAGAGATAGAAAGTACATAAATTTTTCTGAAATATACTGCTAAGGGGAGCAGCTGACTATACAGGAGAGGTCTGCTGCTTTCTACTGATTTTTTGTATATGGTTGTCCAGTTTTCACAAGATTATTTGTTGAAAAGTTTGTTCTTTCTCCATTGAATACTCTTGATTCCTTTGTTGACTACATATGCATGAGTTTATTTCTGGGCTCTCTATTCCAACTGCTTGTTGTGTCTGTTTTTATGCCAGTGTCATACTGTTTTGACTACTATAATTTTTGATATAGTTAAAATCAAAAGCAGGATGTCTCCAACTTTGTTCTTTCTCAAATTGCTTTGACTCTTTGGGGTCTTTGTGGTTCCAAACAAACTTTAGGAGTTTTGTTCTATTTCTGTGGAAATGCCAATAGAATTTTAATAGGGATTGCATTGAAAATGTATTGTATTTACTACATTGCATTTCGAAGACTGGATTATTTAATATTAGTTCTTCCAATCCACGAGAAGAGTCTATCCTTCCGTTTATTTCTGTCTTCAATTTCTTTCATCAATGTCATAGCTTACAATGTACAAATTCCCTTTATTTCATTTAATCCTAGGTATTACATTCTTTATGATACAGTTGTAAAAAGGTTAATTTTTTAATTTGTCTTTCTGCTAGTTCATTATTTGTGTATAGAAATGCAACAGACTTTCATATACTCATCTTGTATCCTACAACTCTACTGAATTTGTTCATTCATTCTTTTTTTAAGATATATTTATTTATGAATATAGAACTCAGGTACAGGCTAGAGGTGCAGGGATGGTGACAGGATTCAACAGAGACAGAGTGGGGAGCAGAACAATCAGATTGACAAAGTACACTGCTGAGGGGAACCGTAGGCAAGTCAGGAGAAGTCTGCCACGCCATATGGGTCACTGCCCTGGCTGGGAATTTAACTTGTGTTGAAATGGCTTTAGCTTCACAGTGCTATGCTTTACCCCACCGCACCACCAGGGAGGGCCCTTGTTCATTATTTTTAGCAGTTTTTTTGGAGTCTTTAGGAATTTCTATGTATACAATCATGTTACATGCAAATTGTGGCAGTTTTACTTCTTTTCAATTTTTTTTTCTTTTTCCTGCCTACCTTGACTCTGATTAGGACTTCCAGTAGTGGTAGAAGTAGGCATCCTTGTCTTGTTCCTGATCTTAGAAGAAAAGGTGCATCTGACCACTTTTGTGATGTTATTTATAGTCTTTACTATGTTAAGGTAGTTTCCATGCCCATTTTGTTTAAAGTTCTTTCATAAGTGAACACTGAACTGAGCCATTTTTTTCTGCATTTACTGAGATGATCATGTAATTTCTATTCTTCATATTGTTAATGTAATAGGTCACACTGATTTGTGACCCTGGGATCCCACTTGATCATAATTCATGATACTTTTAATATATTGTTGAATTAAGTTACTAACATTTTGTTGAGGAATGTTATGTCTATATTCATCAAGGATGTTAGTATTAGTGTGTTGTATATTAGTTAGAGTTTTTTTCCTTGTGCATTCTTGTTTGGCTTTGGTATCAGAGTAATACTGGTCATGTACAATATGTTTGGAAGAGTTTGAAAATGACTGTATGAAGTCTTCCTTATGCATTTGATAGAATTCACCAGTAAAATCATCTGGCCTTGGACTTTTTTTCAGTTGTTGTTGAGAGGTTTTGAATTTCTATTGCATCTCCTCACTATTAAATAATGTGTTTAGATTTTCTATTTTTTCATGACTCAATTATAGTAGGCTGGATGTTTCTAGGAATTTATCCATTCTCTAGATTGACAAATTTGTGGACACGTAATTTTGCATAGTAGTCTCTTATAGCTATTTACTTCTATAATATCACTTGTAACATGTTTCATTTCTGATTTCACTGAGGTCTCTCTTAATTTCTTGGTGAGTCTATAACAATTTTATTTAAAAAAAACAAAAACCACAGCTCTGCATTTCAATGAGCTTTCCAGGCTTATGTCTTTCATTTATTTCATCTCTGATCTTTTTTTCTCCTTCCTTCTATTAACTTAAGTCATTCTTCTTGAGGTTTAAAGT